TCTCTTTCACACAGTCCTGTTCATGCCACTCTTAGGAGAAACAAGAAATCAGCTGAGCATTGGGTCTTCATTTAAAGCAGTATTGGGGAAAACAAGAGAAACATGAAAAGTTATCAGGATAATACTTAAGTTGTTATATCTAAAAATCAAGGGTGAATTGAAAAGCTAAAGGTTTGAGCTCTATAGAAGGGGTTTATGGATAATTGTATTTAAATGTCATTTGAATTGAGCTGATAAAGGTTTATTCCCTTACAAACCAAAGGAAAGCATTTGTCATTTTGGGTAATGGTTGAGACTCCAGGCATAGAATAACAGGTACCTATGACTGCTATGTTGACAGACACTGTATTGTACCCTCCATTGGGACTAGAAAGTGAGAAAACCACACTCACACTAGATGATATGGACAAGATGGCTGAGGAGCATTATTTCACTAGAGTCTGGCCAAGTAAGGGGTTTGAAGGGCATATGAATAGAAGCATAATGAAGTTACCTCATGTAAGTCACAGAAATCACACCCTGGCCCACATTTGACTTCTCCTTAGCCCATAAGTGATAGAATTAGAATGCAGAGAAATCACCCTTTTTTCCTTCTCCAAGACTCATTCAGAATTACTGTACTCCTAGGTAACCAATCATAGCTAGTATAGTGCAGGAAGAACTTGCAGGCCTGAGATTGATCTGAGAAAGATTAAAACAATGGAAAGATACAAATAGGGTCAGGTTCTTGCCCTCAAGGAGTCCTCTCAGGAGGCTCTGGACTGGAGAAAGTCTGGCCAGGGAGCTGGGCAGAGTCCTTTTTCCCTCTCATTTTTTACCCAAAGCTGCTATATCCCTAGCTGTCCTGGCTACAGTTGCCTTTTGGGGCTCTTTAACATCAGGAAATCTCAACTCTTCTAAAATACTCTATGATCAGTATATGTAGCCAACTCACAGGGCATTGTTTCCAATTCCTGCTAATATCCATGGAAACCCAGGCCTTATTTTTCTATTCCTTTGGCTCACTGAAACTGCCAGCAGAGTGCCTTAAGCTAAGGGCTAAATTCTTATCTTGCCTTTAAGCACCATATGATCAGCTTGTCAGCAGTCACTGGGAATCTACACTGCTATTTCTTACCTTTGCCTGTGGGTAACCTCTACCTTCCACCTTCTTCCACCCCCGGGGAGAATGTAGGCCTTGCCAAACAGAGGCCCCCAGGAAATTTTCCAAGACTCACGAGATGTCAAGTCATCTCTAAAATTTTTCAAAAACCCAGAAAGTCATTTCAAAAGCCTAATTTAGTGCCCCCCTGCCCCAGAAAGAAAGATCAAATTTTCCACACAGACACAGCAAATCTGCCCCACAGGCTCATGTTAAAGCTGCAGAAGTATTGGTGCCCAGACTACAGTGAAAGCTCCCTGACCCAGGGGGAAGTCCACCTGGCTAAGCAGCTTAGCTGCTGCTTGGTGGCCAATGGCACACATTCATGAAATCCACTTGCAGGGGATTTCCCTTTGCACTGGAATCAGCAAAGGTTTTTGTCTTTCTGAAAGATTTCCCAGAGGAATTCATTTGCCTATGTGGAAAAACCTAAATTTGGATTTCTCATTTAGTCATAAGTTTTTTCAAATACAGAAATACAAACTGGGTGCACACCTATAACCCAGCTACTAGGGAGGCTGAGGCAGGAGGATCACAAGTTGGAGGCCTACCTGAGCAACTTAGTGAGACCCTGTCTCAAAATTAAAAATAGCCTGGTGCAGTGGCATGTGCTTATAATCTTAGCAGTTTGGGAATGCTGAGGCAGGAGGATTGCAAATTCAAAATCAGCATCAGCAATTTAGCAAGGACCTAATCAATTTAGCAAGACCCTGTCTCAGAATAAAAAATAAAGTGATGTGTGGATGTGGTTCTGTGGTTAGTGCCCCTGGGTTCAATCCCTGGTACCAAAAAAATTTAAAATTAAAAAATAAAAAGGGCCAGAAGAGGTAGAGCACCCTTTGTTTCAATCTGTAGTATCACACACACACACACACACACGAGCATGTACATTCTATGAATGGTCTGATGCTTACTTTATGCAAGGTCCTGTTTGGTTTAAGGAGATACTGGTGAGCAAAATACATAAGGCCACTGCCCTCAAGAAGACTGTGGTTCTAATCTAGCTTTCAATCTGTTTGTATTGAAAATGAACTTGATTCCATCCAGGAAGTATACTAAAAAGTATTAAAACGTACATATCATGTTATATGCCT